ATAAATAAGTTTTTTCATCAAAATGAAAAGTCGTTTGAAAAGTAATATTAAATGTTTTTCATGAAAATTAATGATTTAAACCATACAAAACTGAAATTAATCAAATAATGATATTCTTCTTAAGTGTTATTACTTTGACATTGGCTACTGAAGTCAATTTGATGATGCCACTTGATACTGTCAATTCTAATGGAGTTAATAATAAAGGACAACTTCAAAATGATTTAAATAAAATTAAATCAGGAGGAGTTGCTGGTGTCATGGCAGATGTTTGGTGGGGACTTGTAGAAACATCACCAAGAAATTACAATTGGAATGGATATAAAGAATTAGTTCAAATGGTTAAAAATGCAGGATTAAAATTCCAAGCAGTTATGTCATTCCATAAATGTGGAGGAAATGTAGGAGATTCAGTAACAATTGAAATTCCACAATGGGTAAGAAATGCAGGAGCAGCAAATGATGCATTCTTTAAAGATAATGAAAATAATGTTAATAATGAATATATTTCATTTGCATATGATGATTCATCTATTTTTGAAGGAAGAACACCAATTGAAATTTATAAAGATTTCATGACTTCATTTAAACAAAACTTCCAAAGTTATATTGATGATGGAACAATTAATGAAATTCAAGTAGGTATGGGACCATGTGGAGAAACAAGGTATCCATCATATCCACTTTCAAGATGGAGTTATTGCGGAGTAGGAGAATTCCAATGTAATGATGGTAAATCAAAAGAATTACTTAAAAAAGCAGCAACAGCCAAAGGACATTCAGAATGGGGAAATGGATCACCATCAAATGCAGGAAATTATAATTCTAAACCACCATCATCAACAGGATTCTTTGGAAATGGATTTGATAATTATCAAAGTGAATATGGAAGATTCTTCCAAGAATGGTATTTTGACTTGTTATTAAGTCACACAGATAAAGTTCTTTCAGCAGCAAGAAATGTATTTGGAAATACACTTGCACTTGCAGGTAAAATATCAGGAGTTCATTGGTGGTACAATGATCAATCACATGCAGCAGAAATGACAGCTGGATATTATAACTCAAATGGAAATGATGCATATAAAACACTTTCTAATACATTCAAAAATAATAATGTTAGATTTGATTTTACATGTCTTGAAATGAGTGGAACTGATGGAAATTGTGGATCATCACCAGCTAATTTAGTTGATCAAGCATTTAATGCAGCAGGAACAGTTGGAATTGGAAAATGTGGAGAAAATGCACTTGAATTATGTGGATATGGAGGATGTAACACTAATGGATTTAATCAAATCATCAATAAATGTAAACAACATGGATTAACAGCATTCACATATTTGAGAATGACAAGAGGACTTCTTGATGATGGAAATGCATGGGGACAATTCACTAATTTTGTTAGTAGAATGAGATAATAAAACTAATTTAATAACATGTTTACATCATTTCATATTTAACTTTCATTAATTACAATAAATAATTTAAATGAAATACAGAATGAAAATTAAAATAATTAAATGTGTTGAAACACTAAATAAATGAAATTTATTCAACTGATTTACCATTATATTTCAATGGAAGTTCTTTAGAAGGGCAAATGAATAATGTAATGCAATTAGGAATTTCACATTCAACAAAACAAGTTTCATTTTATACTCTTATAATGCCAATATATTTAGCATCTATTTCTGAAGGAGTGCCAACACAACCACGAGTATGTGCAGAGATTTATCATAAATTTCCATGTGACTCTACTTTAGTTCTTGTTTTTAATCATATTCAAGCAGGAGAAAGTAAAAATGTATTAGTTGATTGTGGATTTAAAGTAGTAGCTGAAAAAGTAGAAGGAACAGTTGCTAAATTAATAATGATTATCAAATTAATAAAAGACATAATTATTATGGCTGATATTGATATTGATGCAATAAAGAAAACAATTACATTCCATATGAAATCATCAGAATTTTCTCAATTAAAGTTAATGGAACAATCATTAGCTCCTTTATTCTAATTAAATTTTTTTTTCTTATAAAAAGGAATAATTGTTTAATTAAATATTTCATTCATTTACCAACTTTCATTACTTGAAGAACATCTTCATCATCTAAATGATGATCTTTACCAACTCTTTGAGGACTATGTTTAACAGAAGTTCCCCAAACTAATGCATATTTCATTTGAGTAGCAAGTTGTTTATGAATTTTAAAACTAACATTTTCTACAGTAGCTTTACGTGCCGGAAGAACAATAGGAGTTTTAAAATCAGGAAAAGCACCAGGAACTTTTGTATAAACTCTAACAAGATTTAATTGTTCCCAAATCATTTCTTTTAATTTATCTAAACCAATTCCTTGAGCTGCAGAAATACAACAAAAATAAGGCATTGTTTTAAGTTTTTCTACTTCAGATGGTTCCATTGCATCAATTTTATTAATTACATAGATACAAGGAATATATTTACAATTATCTTCTATTACATCAATTAAATCTTGAACTGAAGAATCTGTATCACAATAAACATCTGCATTTAATATTTTATATTCTTTTAATATTAATCTAACAATTTCTTGTGTTAATTCACTTTGTTTTGCTGTAGGTGTAAAACATACTCCTCCAGCAAGTTTTTTAACAATACGAATTCTTGGTGGTTCTTTATTTAATCGAATTCCAACTCCTTCTAATTCATATTCAATTTTATCTTTTAATTCTAATGATTTAGTTCCGTCTATCATTAAAAGAATACAATCAGAAGTTCTAGCAACTGAAATTACTTGTTTTCCTCTTCCTTTTCCATCTTTAGCTCCTTCAATAATTCCTGGAAGATCTAATAATTGAACTTGTGATCCTTTTAAATCCATTACTCCTGGAACACATGTTAATGTAGTAAATTCATATGCTGCTATTTTTGATTCTGTAGGTGTCATTGCTGTAAGTAATGTAGATTTTCCAACTGATGGAAATCCAACCATTCCTACTCTTGCATCTCCAAATTTTGCTACATCAAACCCTTCTCCTGCAACTTTTTTTTCTGGTGCAAGTAATTCTCGTTGATATTTTGCCATTTTTGCTCTCATCATACAAATATGATGCATAGTAGCTTTATTGACTTGTGTTCTCGATAATTCAAATTTAATATCATCAATCTTTTGTTGTAATGACATGATTTCTACTTTACTTACTTTTATATTATATAGTTCTTTTTATTACTTATTTACTATTATTATTTTAATATTCTTTAATATTGTTATATATATTAATATTATTTTTATTTAAAATGAATCCAATAAATTAATGTAATATATAACTTGATGGATATATTAATTAATACTATAATACTTTTCAACTTCTTTCTTTATTTAAAGTTAAATCAATACTTTTTTTTATTTGATTTTATATAAAAGAAAAAAAAAAAAATTCAAAGAAACAAAAAGTGAATTAAGAATTATGGTCTGTAATTGTAATCAACATCATGAGAACAAGCAGTCATATCACCATTGTATTGTTTCATATAAGGAGAAGTCCATCCACCAAATGATTTAAAGTCTGAGAATGTTTTCTTACCATCATAATGTGGATACCAAATTGGCCAACTTCCAGCTCTACTGAATTTATAGTCTAAACCAACAATATCTTCCCAATTATAATAGGAAGCATAAATTCCAGATTTAATACCAATAGCAGCAGCTTCATTAGTAAGACTTTCAAAGAATTTTCTATTACTTGATTTAGAAGAAGACCATTTACCTTCAATATCAAACCATAATCTTTCGAATTTAAGTTTTTTAGAAGTAACTTGATTCCAGAATGATTTTACTTGTCCTGCAGGATCTCCACATGAATAACATGGATAGAAATAAGCATCAATATTCTTTGCACTAAATCCAGCAGCAAGAGCATTTTCATTAATTGATTTAGCATTTGGATCAAATGATCCAAGACTTCTCCAAGCTCTAAAGATGAAGAAGGAATTAAATCCAAGATTTCTTAAACATTGAATTGATGATGTTGAAATAGATTCAGCAATATCAACACCATAAGAAGCTGCATGTGCAGTAAGTATAATTGCTGCAAAGATAAATAACATTAATTTTAATAAGAACTTTTTTAGGAGTATTTAAAGGAATAAAAAAAATTATTTTAATATAATATTTCATAGTTATTTATTCTATTTCTTATTCTTTGATAATAAAAATAAAAATAATCATTTGAAAATTAAATTCAATTTAATTTTTCTTAGAATAATTTGGAAGATTTAATTTTTACTATTTAATTCATTAATTAAAATTAATATATTTTTTTTTAAAGTTTTTATAAAGATTATTCATCTAAATAATAAATTAGTTTTTTCTAATTTTTAATTTAGATTAAATTATTAAAAGTATATAATGTATTTTTAAATTAAAAAATTAGTTTAATTCTTTATTTTAAATATTATTTATTTTATTCTCTCTTTGTTTTATTATTTTTTATTCATTTTCAAATGTTCATATATCAAGAAACAAAAAATAAACATTGTATCTACTGATTTTATAGAGTAGTGTCATTACCATTGACTTATTCTTTATTTTCAACAAAAAGACATTTTTCTTCAATATGGTAAGAAATAGAGAAAAATTATGATATCGAGATCATATCATTGATTTTGTTGTTCATATCATAATAAATGATGATTGAAAATACTTGTATTCCTTTCCTTAGTAAATCGCATGTTTCAGATTTAAATTTCAAAAACCAAAAATAAAAAGTTAAATCATTATCTTAATAAATCAGATAAAAATAGATAAACTGTGATATAAAAGAGTTTAATAACAAGTGATGGAAAAATTAGAAGACTTTGAGTTTGTCAAAAGGAGAAAAAGAGAAAGTAAAAATAATATATTAAGAATTTGATTATGTTAGAAATAGAACTCAAATCAGAGAAGTCTAAATATGGTAAAAAAAAAGATGATATGAGTAAAATTAGAAAAGAGTAAATGATATTGAAGGGAATTGAAAGAAGAATTATTATTTTTGGAGAATACAGAACTATTTAACAAATTGATTTGATATTATTCATTCAATCCTGTTAAGTAATGAGCTTGTCAGTTTTTACTCCAGTACCTGTTGAAAGTTTTGTTATTACTCCAAAAATTTCTAATCAGTCAGAAGAAGAATTAAATGAAAAATTATGTTATTCTCATTTTGTTTCATATCAATGGAATGATGAAATTACTATTTTTGTGATGTTAAAATATAAAAAATGGCAGTTATCACAAAGAAAATATATGACATTAAATGAATTTTTAAAAGAATGTTCTGAATGTCTTATTAATAATTTTCATTTTAAAAAATCACCAACACAAATAAGAGATAAAATTAATAATACTAAATCTTCATATGCTAATATTCTTAAAAAATCAACTTCTCAATTATCTAAAGAAAAAAATTTACCATTAACAAAAAAGTTATTTGATTTTATGAATATTTATTTTAATGGTAAATATATCATTTCAATTGATATTTTAGAAGAACAAATTTCTTTATTAATGAGAAAATTTATAAGTCATATTAATACTTCTTGTCAATTAAAAAGTGCTATTTTAAAAATGAAAAACTTATCATTAAAAGAATAAGTTTTTTTTTTATTTATCTATCTTATCAAATTGTAAATTACATATTATTTTAATTGAATATCTTTTTTTTTTATGTGTAATTATTAAAATTACAGTTTATTAATGAAAAATGTTAATAACAACAAAAAGTTATTCAATTCTTGAAATTAATTCAATAAATATTCATATTCTTTTTGATGTTTTGGATTTTTTATTCTTTTCATTACAACATTTTGTTCTGATGAATCATAATATTGTAATGTGTTAACATAATAATCAAAAATTTCATTTCTAAATTCTTCACATTTAATTTCTTGTTCTTTACTTTGTTTAAAGTATTTCATTGCATTTACTTTATCTTGAAGTCGATCAAATTTAATAATATAAATTCCTTTTTCTTTAGAATGAGAATTTTTTGGTATAGAATATAATATTTTATAATTTTTAAATTCTTCAAAATTACTTATGAAATCATTAAATCTATATTCAGCTGGGACATTATAATAACACAATGTTTGTGTTTTAATAATTGGTAATGAATTATAAAATGAATATAATTCAAGTGCAAACGAATCAATAAATTGTCTAACTTGTTTTTTAGTAATATCATTTTCCAAATTAAATTGATCAAATCCAGAAATAATTTCAAATGCATTTGATCTATTTCTTTTAGAAAGTAATTTTCCATAAGCAATATCAATTAACTTATCTTTATAATTAAATGTAATGAAATATTCTAGAAGATGACAATCTAGTTCAATAGTTTCAATATTTTTTAACTTTTTAGTGAATATTTCAAGACATTTAGGACATACAACCCATCTTATTTGAGGATTTACATTACAAAATTTATATGCAGAATTTGAATTTTCAGGATGAATACATTTTTTTTCCATTGGAGATAGTATTATTTCTTCATGAAAAAGAAAGTGTAATACAAGATAAAAACTTAATTCCATATGATTTTTTAATTCAGTTGATTCTAAAATTTCAACTAGATTTGATCGAAGAATTTCAATTCTTGGATCAATTTTTGAAATTGATTGATAAAATTCCCATAAAATACATTGCGTTTTATTAGGTCCATAAAAATTGATTGTTAGTTGTCCTTTAGAAATTGTTAATGAATTTTTTGTTTTAGAAATTTCCCATTCATCAAAAACATCTGATAATATTTCTAATGTTGATTGAAAATCATTTGAATTGATAGAAAGATCTACAGTAGTATTGATTGATGTTTTATAACAATTTATTACAAATAAATCACTCATAAACTCTTTTAATTCTTGAATAATTTTTGGTAGAACAGCAATTGAAATTGATTGATTAAATGATTTATGTGGCATTTCATAAGGGATCATATAATGTGGTTGTTTTATATTTGAATGATATACTATTTGATGAAGAAGTAATTTTGATTGTGGAACATTTTCACAACATTCTTTAAGAGAATAATCAATTTTAAGTATAGGTTTATTCATTGATAATACTAAATAATGAAATATTAAGTTCAGAAATAAAAGATTCTTTAAAAACAAAATGATAAGATTCAACTTTTTGTTTCTTTTTTTCTTAAAATCTTTTTTTTTTGTATTTTTGTTTTTTATTACAAGATAAATAAAAAAACAATTTATTCTAACATGTCAATGTTGAGATGTATTGGATATAATATTGGATCATATTTTTATAATAGTGTTTCCTCTAAAAGATTAATTAAATTACAACCATTTACACAAAAAAATATTGTTTATATTCTTGGAAATTGTTATTATCCTGAAACTAATGAAAACTTAAATCATTTAACTTTCAATGATGCAAATATTAAAATTCATGATTTAATTGTAGCAACATACAGACAAAAATATTCATGTTTAGGAAATACTTATCTTTCTTCTGATGCAGGATGGGGATGTGCTATTCGAGCAACACAAATGATGATAGTAAATACATTGGTCATTTTTAAAGATCAAATGCAACAAATAATTGATTATAATTCATTTGAACATCAACAAAATAAATTACAAGCAAAAGAACTTATTTATGATAAAATTTCATCATTATTATCAATTCATAATATTTATATTCAAGAAATCATTAAAGTACATAATCCAACTGGAACTAATTTTTTACCACCATCAATATGTTGTATTGCTATTTCGTTTGTTATTAATTTAAAGATAAAAATAATATTAATTTTTATTAATAATCAAAATTAATTCTAAATACATTATAGATCACTTTTACAAGAATGGGATAAAAAACTATTTAATTGTATCACTTGTTTAGATCATATCCCAAATTGTTCATATCCAACACTTTATTTAATTCCTCAAATTATCACATTCACTGAACATCAATTAATTTTAGATTCATTAACTCTTTCTCAAAGTCGAGGATTTGTTGGTGGTATTGGAGAATCTGCAATTTTTGTTTTTGGATATCAAGGAACAACATTATTTTTTTTAGACCCTCATTATGTACAAAATGCAGGAGATTTTGGGTATTTTAATCCACCAACATATCAAATTGACCTTTCATTAATTAGTCCATCTATTGTTTTTGCTTTTATGTGTTATAATGAAAATGATTGTGAACAACTTCGAAATATCTTTAATATGGGAAAAGTACCTGTCACCCCAAGAGAATTTACATCAACAAAAGAAGTTGATGGTGTTGAAATCTTAGACTTTTAAATTAATCAACGTTCATTGTTTATTTAATTTATTTTCTTTTCATTTGAATAATATGTTGAAGAAATTTTAAAAGAAATGACTCTTATGATATGAATAAAAATATCTAATTAACATTTATTCTCTTTTCATTTATCAAAACACTATCTTATTCTAAAATTTCTTTTAACACTTTGAAAAAAAAAAAAAAAAGAAAACTAAACTTAAATCAACTCATTTTCAAATGAAATATTTGTTTAGAAATAAACAAAGTAATGATAATTCTTTTTGTCCATCACTTAATATCAAATCTCCAATAATTCAACAAAGAAAAGGATTAGAAATTATTTATTTAATGAATATAGTTCCTTATTTGGAAAATATTTCAACATTATTAACATTTATTTTTGTTAGTAGAAAATGTTTTTATTCTGTAAAACGACTAAAGATTAATCCATTCTACTCTTGCAAATTAACTAATACAAAAGAACGTATTAAATCATTAAAAAAAGAAATTCAATATTTTATTGGGATAGAAACATTTCTTTGTGATTCAGAAATGATTGAAAAATTAACAATTGAACAAATAAATAAGATAAAAAGATTTAATCTTTATGGAAAAGTCATTTATACTGCACCAAACTTAATTCAAATAGCATCAAAAATCACTTATTTTTCATTTTATGTTGATCTTGATGTACAAATACCTATTCAAAAAATGGTGAATTTAAAAAAATTATTAATTGATATGAATGGAAATACTGAAATGGTATTTTTTACAGAATATATAGTACAAATATTTACACAACTTCAATCTTTTCAATTTTTTCATTCATTAGTTATAGAATGTAATGGTATTGAACTTAAGAAAATATTTTCAATTCTTAATAAATTTAAATGGAATAAAATTAAAATTATTATTAAATGTTTTGATCTTAGAGAAGAACATATTACTTGGTTAAATGAATTAAAAATTAATAATTATATTATTTCTTGTTATTCAAATGAATTAAAAACTTCATTTGTTAAATTACTTGTTCTTCCTTTATATGATGCTTCTAATACTTTAACAATCTCTAATGATATTCTTCAATATAATAAATTATTATCTATTCTTAATTTATATTGGCTTGTACGTTTACATTGTTTTGAAATTTCTTCTCTTCAATGTCCTGTTTGTAATATAGATTTATCAATTGCAAATTCTTTGCAAGAGTTTAACTTAACAAATTCTCATTATTTACAACCTTCTTGTTTTATATTACCTACTTCACTTCAAACAATTACTTTCACAAATTGTTCAAATATTACTCTTCCTAATTTGGCTTCTATTCATTTATCTAGTTTTTCTATTAAAAATTGTTCTACTGTTCAATCTTTATTCCTCCCATCTACTCTTACTTTTTTGGAAATTAGAAATACTCCAATTAACCCTTTCTTGAATTTAGAATTAATCCAATTGAAACAAATATCTATTATCCAATGTTCTTCATTAGAATCAATTATTGTTCCATCATCAATTCAAACTATTTGTATTTATTGGTGTGATTCATTAACTACTATTGAAAAAGTCTTTCAAACTACTATTACTAAATTAGATCTCTTTCATTGTATGAAATTAAAACCTCTTGCATTACCAATAACAATCTCTCAACTCTATATTTCCTTTTGTCAAAATGATCTTATCAATAATATAATTCAATTAACAAACTTAACATCTCCATTGTATTAATAATTAATTCACTTCTTTTCATCAATTATTATCATTTAAAACTATCCTTCTATTACTTAAATACTACAAATAAATTATACCTTTCATATACAATCTCTTTAATTTTACTATTCCTTTATGTTGTATCAAGATTTTTTCTCATTGCTATACAACCTATTGAATCTTATACAACACCCAAAAACTTGAGAATTTCCTGCTAAAAATTAGAAATGGTTATTACATAAAAGTACTCATCTAATAATGTTAATGTGTTTAGTAAATACTATTGTCATATGCCTTTTTGAGAATGAGTACATTGTTTATCTTTCTTATTCCTTTTTTCTCTTACTCTCGAATCTTATTAATAATGGATTAACAGAGTATTATCTTAATTCAATAAACTCTTTTAGAGTACCTTCTAATTGTGTATTTTATTATTAGTTTATTCATATTTCACATTTGAAGATAGTACTTATAATTGTTTGAAAAGATACCATCACGCTTTGACACAATTAAAGAAGAGTCATTACACTAAAGCGCTGACAAGAATTCTATCTTTGTGCACTAAAACAAAATTGCTATTGACCTAGTCAGACCAATAGGCTTAAAACACACTTATTAAAACAAACCACTTACACGCTCATTCAAGTTATTGAAAAAACACACTTTGGAAGTATTAGAGAGTACTAATATTACTCAATGAGATGTGTCCTTATTTGTTCAATGACACTGAAAGATAAAATCAACTAAAATTTCTTAATGAAATTACTAAAATAATCGAATCGAAAGTAGCTGTCTATTAATAATTTGATGAACATAAAATTATTAGTACCAAAATATTAAAGGTATTATAGTTATGATAAAATTATATAAACAATACATATGTTTTATCAAATAATATAATAAGTAAATATCTATTATTAACTTTTAATTGAATTTTATTAAAACTAAATTAATAATTCTCTCATTTGTTTTTCTTTACTATTATTAATTAAAACAAAACATCATTTCATTTATAGCAAATAGTGGTAATATTGTATTAATTGATAACTCTGACTTTTATACAACACAACATCCTTTCTCTCTTTGAGGTTTTTTTATTGTCCATATTTCTTCTTCTTCTCTTTGATATTTTTGTTCAAGAATATTTCTTGTGATTATTTCAAAGATTTGATTGATGTTTTCGTTTGTTTTAGCACTACATTCAATAAATGGACAGTTGATATTGTCTGCATAATTCATACCTTCTTCTTTTGTTACTTCTCTTTCATTTTCTAAGTCACATTTATTTCCAACTATAATAATTGGAATTGGTTCATTCTTATCTTTGTGTTTAACTCGATAAATTTCTTCATAAATTCCTTTTATTTCTTCAAATGATTCTTTTGATGTAATAGAATATATCAATACAAATCCATCTCCATATTTTATGTATTGATCTCTCAATGCGACGAACTCATCTACGTATGTATCATATATTTCTAATTTGATACTACTGTTATCAACTTGAATTACCTTTACATATGCTTCTTCAATACCTGGGTCATAAATTGTAACAAAATGGCCTGAGACGAATTGGATTAAGACTGAAGTTTTACCAGAACTGTTTTTTCCTAATGTGACCAATTTATACAGATCAGCACTAACACTCATTTAAAACTAACTAATTAATTAATTCTTTTAAGTTCCTTTTATAAACCTCCGAAGTAAATGAATTATCGAAAATTTATCTTTAATTTATTTAACATCTCTATTTCATCTCTTTTTATTTTTGTGTTTTCATAACTATTTTTATTTAACTTTGAGTTTTAACTATTTACTTCTTATGTTGAGAGTATTTAATTGTTATATAATGTTATGTTATTTTATCATTTCTTCTGCTTTTTTAAAAAACTTCATTCTTATTGTTATTTAATAATTTTATTGATTTCTAATGTTTCCGTTCATTCTTATAATAAAAACACACCAATATTAATTAATGAGTCAATTCAACATTTTATTCCATTTGAGCAATAAAATTCTTTTGTAAAGAAGATGTATAAAGAACAATATCAACTCTTTTTAATTCTTTTGTAGATTCATTCTCTAGAATATATCCTTCTATAATAAGGGAATTTCTTTTTAAACTTTCTGTTGGATTAATGTATACCACAAAACTACTTCCAATGTTCTCTTTAACTTTACTCAAATATTCTAATTGTTGTTCAGTTAAATCTTTACTTCCTCCACAGACATACATCCCAACACAATAACAATTCTGCCCAACTATATCCTTTGCCATCTTTAATTTTCCTTCTCCGGACTTTGGGGTACTTCCAGTCACTTCAACAACTGATTCATCATTAACAACTCCATACATTCTTCCACCACAGTGTGTTTGATTATTAAATGAAGAATGTGTATTTCTAAAGTGTTTAAGAATATTTAAAACAACGCATTGCTCAATTCTGATTGACATTTTGTTTTTGTCAAGGGTTTTTGAGATTTTTATTTCTTAAACAATTTTATTATTTACTTATTATCAGTTTTACTATTTCTATCTTGTGAGAATTGAATATGAGAAATTATCAAGGAAGATGAAAAGAATGTAATTAAATTATGTGTCTTTATTACCAATGAAATAAACAACAACCATAAAAACAACTAGTACAACCATTAACCCAAATAAAATCAAAAGAGTACTTCCAGATATTTTGTTCTTCTTTCCTAATGTTTGAATGAAATTCTTTCCAATAGAAGACATTTCTTTTTTCTTACTTCCATGGTCATCTTCATCACTGCTCACGTCAAATTCTATAGTTGGTGCAACTTCATTATTTTCACTACCTTCTACTTTGTCGTCTTTACGTTTTAAACTAGTGATTTCTTGTTGGACATATTCGACATTGTCTTGCTCTTCTTTTTCTTGTGGGAGTTGTTTTATTTCTTTTGGAGTTTCGTTCAATAAAACTGCTGCAGTCATATCTATTTCTTCTTCATGTTTAGGAGGATTTAACTCAAGAAATGGTTGAAGATAAGATTTACCAGCAAACGTAGAGATTAATTGGTCTTTGATTTGATTTGGAATGTCTTGTTGTGTGAAAATTGGTTGATGGCATTTAGGACATTTAACCTCTTCTATTGATTGGTCGAACAAAGAAATTAAGCAGTCTTTGTGAAACACACAAAAACAAGGCAAGCGTACAGTCTCTTTTGATGTCAATTCAGTGCTGCAAATTATACAATTATTCACTTCCTCACGGTTTTCTTCTACATATTCACGGTATTTACAAACAGTACAATTGACATGGCCTTTGAATATACATTCAATGCAAATGTGTTTTTTGTGATGGACACAATACAAATCAGTTGGCTTTTTACATTCAAAACAGATTCCCATTTATGTTTTGTTCAACACAATTTAATTTAAAGTTTTATTTTTTTTTTGAAAATTCTTTTTTCTATTTTAAAAGTAATTTTCTTGAAATGAAAAATTAAAACAAAAAAAATAACAATTAATAGATATATCTATAATTGGATTTCTTCATTTGAGAAGTAATTACTTCAGTTTCTTCAGTATGCTCTACTTCTATCAGAGATTCCGTTAAAACAAAATGGCGTTTATTAGTTATTGTTAGTATCATTCGAAAATACTTAAATAAGTCATAGTTTATTTTCCTTACTCTTGAAACAAAAAAATATAAAAACTAGTAAGAAGATTAGACACAAAGTATAATATTACATTTTTAATAATTAATTTAAATAATAAAAATAAATAAAGGCAATGACAAGATAATCTACAACTTTTACTTTTAATTAACTTTAACTTATACACTCACTTATTAAACAACACAACATCCTTTCTCTCTTTGAGGTTTTTTTATTGTCCATATTTCTTCTTCTTCTCTTTGATATTTTTGTTCAAGAATATTTCTTGTGATTGTTTCAAAGATTTGATTGATGTTTTCGTTTGTTTTAGCACTACATTCAATAAATGGACAGTTGATATTGTCTGCATAATTCATACCTTCTTCTTTTGTTACTTCTCTTTCATTTTCTAAGTCACATTTATTTCCAACTATAATAATTGGAATTGGTTCATTCTTATCTTTGTGTTTAACTCGATAAATTTCTTCATAAATTCCTTTTATTTCTTCAAATGATTCTTTTGATGTAATAGAATATATCAATACAAATCCATCTCCATATTTTATGTATTGATCTCTCAATGCGACGAACTCATCTACGTATGTATCATATATTTCTAATTTGATACTACTGTTATCAACTTGAATTACCTTTACATATGCTTCTTCAATACCTGGGTCATAAATTGTAACAAAATGGCCTGAGACAAATTGAATTACAATGGCTGAACTACCTACCCCAAAAACACCTCCAAAAACAATTAATTTTATAACTTCTTTTTTAATGGACATTCAAAGTTTCTTTGTTGATTGATTTTTTTATGTTTTGGTTTAAATTTAAAAAAAGGTGAAGTATTAAACAAGTGATGGTATTTTATTGACTTCACTACACAAAAAAGAAATTCAGATATTCTGAAATAGTCAATACAACAATGAAATGTTGTATTTTCTTCCTTTTATTGAAAATAAAATAAATGAAAAAGAAAATTCATTTCATATTTAAGAAGTGACTCTCTGCTTCTTTCTTTTTATCTCTTATAAATAACACTAACATTATGATACCTAAAATGATTAATGCAATGGTCATACTAATAGCAATCCAGAACATTAAATTTAAATCCAAGAAATATAATTCTATTGACCATTTTGATGACTTTAATGGTGGGTGTGGAATAACTACTAATTGAGAATTAGGAATAATGGATTGGAATTGTTGATGAATGACTGACACATTCATATTACTTCCAAATTCTACAACTTGAATATAATTTGAGATTCTTCCTAATCCAATATGAGAATAAGGGAATTGAATTGACCCATGTGTTGTTTGTGAAATTTGGACAGAAGCTAATCCGATATTATTGCCATCAGTATTTGTTAATGCTAATTTGAACATTCCACCAAAATAATTTGATCCATATGGTTTTGGAGAAATTGTTTGATATCCATCCCCACAACTTGAAACACAAACTCCATTTAATCCTACAATTTTGACAAATAATGCATCTGGTTTTAAATTATTACTAATTGCTTTTACTTTTCTTATAGATGTTCCATTACTCTCATCTTTAATATTAAAGAATAAATCTAACATACCTTTATTATCTCCATCAAAGAAAACACCTGACATAGCACCTAGACTAGTTTGTTTAATTGTTTCTTTTTCTGATTCTTCTTCAATTATAGTCTTTCCATTATCATTCTTTAGAAGCATCATATAATGAGTCTTAGTAGAGTTTTGAACTAATACTAGTAAATCTGGATATGAGTCAATATTATAATCTCCCATTGAGATAAAACTTAATCCCTTTTCTATAACTAATTCAATTCCATTTGGTAGAATATACTCAATAGAATTTCCACCTTCAAATTGATAATCTTCATCAGCAACACACATTTCAGTTTGTGATCTGCATGATGAATCAGATTTTACAAAAGACTTACACACAGTTTTTTGTTTATTGTATTGGATATGAATTATATTTTTCATTGACCAAAGTAAATCAATATTTCCATCTCTATCAAAGTCATTGACTAAAATATTGTCAATAGTTCCATTTATCTTAATAGTTCTACTTAAAGAATAATTTAATACTTTATAATCACCTGATTCTTTAGTAGTTTGTGTAGTATAAATTTGAATTTCATGTTTTCCTTTATTGTTAACAACAAATAATAAATCAGAACGACAATCCCCATTAATATCTGCCATAGTAATTGGGAATGTAGCATCGTATGTTGGGAATATATACTCATTACTTTCTTTAAAGCTTTTATCTCCTTTATTCATCCAAACACTAGTAGTTTTTTTAGAATTTAAACTAATAAGGTCAATGTAATTATCTCCATTAACATCAAAAGCAGTAGCTTCTCCATACAATGAAATTGGTTGACCACATACCAATTTATCATTAGTATGATAACAAAGGTATGTTGGATATATATTATTTTTGAATGTTTGGACAATAAACGATGTTTCTCCATTAAACAAAAAATCTCCAGCAATGACATTTATAATAGTTTCGTTAAATGTCAATAATGTTTTAAATTCCTCATATTTAATTGTTTTACCAGAATTATTTTCTTTAACTAATTTAATTGATTTCTTATCTGAACTGAGTACAATAATTTCTATTCTATACAATTATTACTTCTTATTATTTCTCTTTATTTGGATCATATCCCCATTTATTTAAAACAGGTTATTCAAGTTCTTATTAATCGAAATCAACAAACTGTCTATCATCATCATAATCTGCAAATCCAACTATTTCTCCTTCAAATGACCAATCATTTTCTGTGCAAAAATTTGCTTTACAACTACTTTTCTTTTGGAAAGGTGTCCAAACACTTGCCAAACAACAACCTAAAAAGAAAAGAAAGATTATTTTCATTTTATTCTCCGAGATTTTCGATTATGTTTTTTCAAGATTTCTAAATTATTAGATTATGTAAAGACAACCTGATTTAAACATGTAATAGTGAATCTAAAAGACAATTTGTTTAATAACCTAACTACCTGAGCAACACCAACAAAAAAACACCATGAAACTAGATATCAGTTCTTTTTCTTCTAAATAATAACACATTTGGCTCTGGCTTAAAAATGTCATAATGAACCCATCCAACACTTTGTTGTATTCCTAGTTTCCTCCACTCATCCTCAGTCATTAAATGATCTTTTATAAGTTTTGCTGCCATTTCATCAGGAAGAATTACGTGTCTATTAAATAAGTTTAGTCATTGCGTTAGTGTAAAAGAACAAACCTATACTCGTATTGGTCATCCTTATATCTATCAGAGTAGTATGGGTCTTTTGACATGATAAGAATGAATCAAAAAAATAAAAATATAAAGTAAATGAAAGGTTCTGACGTTGTTCCACGTTTTTTTTTGTTTATCAAATTCTTTTTCTATTTTAATTTTTGTTATCACAATGACTACTATTCAGTTGTATAACCAACTTGTTCCTTGTGGCAATTCTATTGAGTTCAAGAACATTGAAGATGGAGTGTCTCTCTTTATTAAAAACGTTTGATGAAGTGGTTATTTAAGTGAAAAGAAAAATTAAACATTTAGATTGCATTGTTCCCAACAAAAGAAAGAGACAGTTATGCACAGTTGTACATTTATGAAAATGACAAGAAGATCATGCTATATCGTTTGGATGAACAAACAAACCCAAATCAAGTTTGCATGATGATGCTTATTGAAAAAGGAAAATCAAAACAATTGTTTATTGAAGGAAAAGGTCAAGTTCAATTAATAGGGTATTTAGTTTAATTGAGTGATGGTTGTCTATTTATGATGTTGCATAGTTCGTAGGATTGATAGAAATAATCATATCAATAGAATTACTAAGCAAATAATCTTCCACTGGGTTATAAACCAAAACACACTCTTCTGATGAGTGTCATTTTTGTGAAGTGGAATATTTATGATTATTATTTTTTCATTCTTTTTTATTTTTTGATTTTTAATTATTAGATGTTATATAAAACAATTATACTTTTAATTAAAAAATTTTACTAAATTGAAGGTCATTTAATTTAAATTAGTTCTTTTTTGTTTCGTTAACCAACTACAGCCTAGTTCCTGATATTGTGAGAGACTTTTGATAGTTTTGTATGAGAGGATAATAGATAGAAGTAATTATTCCTCAGTAATAATTCAAATAAATTGTTTTTCAAAAATAGAATATATTCCTAATTTAATTTAAACAATGAGTTCAATGTTTTATCATAAACAATATCTTGTCTAAATGCATTATACTTTATTTGATCTTTTATAACTTTGCACTATTTTTTTAAATGAAGTTTGAAGTGTTATTCTTTTTAATTTGAAGTATGTTATTCTTTTATTTATTTTTAAACAACCACATAACTTATTTTCAATTACTTTTCTTTATTTGTAATTTAAAAAAATTGTAGATCTTAATGTTGAGTTGAATATATATCTGTTGCATCTAATTTTTTATAAAAGAAATAATCAAAAAAGAATAATCTATTTATAAATTTCAGTATTTATGTTTTATATAACATATGGTTTCTATAAAAAGGAAAGAAGAAAAACTAAAAAAAACAAATAACATGGAAAAACCAAAGAAGACATATCAAATTACAGAAACAAATCTTTGGATTCCTCAACGAGATCGTGTAGATGATTTTATTAAACAAGAAATGAAAAAAGATACATTTTTTATGCAACCTAAAATTGAAGATATTTTTAATACACTTAATGTTCCGCCATCATTAACTGATGAGAATTGGAAACGAACAAAAGTAGTAAAAGAATATCTTAATGGTCTTGGATTAACTTATGAAACAAAACTAGCTCCTCATATATTTCGTTATAGAAAACAAGATGAACTTAAAGTTCTTGGTATTCTTTCTGAGAAAAAAGCACCTGAATATCAACCAATAGAATCACTATTAATACAGTCATCAACTAATATGTCATATGGAATATATGAAGTAGTTTGTTTATTTATTCAAGTCTTTTGTTATGAATAATTTAATTAACGTTATTAGGATAAACTAAAAAAATTTAAAATGAAAGGTATTGATGGGGGCTCTCTTGCCAATAGAAGTGAAGATGTATTTATTTCAAGAAGATCTATGAGATAATAAGAGGTAATAAACATTTAATAAATGTTGATTATATAATATTAACTGAATGTTTTCTGTGTGATTATTTAAAAATAACTCAAAAAGAGAGATGATTAGATTTATGTATGATAAAAATCGTTTTGTAATTTTATTTTTGAAAAGATTAAAAAATAACATAATTTATTTTAAGTTATCGTTTTATTTGATTTTTATTTTAACCATTTTAAAGTGATTATATTATTACTCTTAGAATATTTGAATAAATTCTTTTTTAAACAAGTTGTTATGAATGAGTATTACTTTTTTATTTGAAATTCAGCATTTAAGCATTAAAAAGGGTGTTGGTCTTAGTGTTCTCAATTATCATCATATACCAAACTAGTTGGGTCTTTAATGATAAAATACTATTTACTTTTTCATTTTATTAAAGATAATAATATTTTATGAAATAATAAAATAGAGTTTAAAATGAAAATACTTTTATTTATTAGAAAGTATAGTAAATATATAACAAAAATAAAATATGTTGTATTTTTTTGTTATTTTTGAAAGATTCAAAAAATAGAAAAAACAAAAAACTATAAAAGACACAAAAACATTTCCAACAAGAGGGATGGATACCCATGTTCCAATATTTACTTTAAGTGATGTAATGAATGACTTATGTGCGTTTGTTTATTGTTAATAGTAGAAGTACCCAATTAATTAAAATAGACGATTTGTTATCAATAATCCAGTAAATGAGTACAACGACTCTATAAGATTCTTATTTTTGTTAGAACTTGCACATTGGTATTACATGGATAATTGGACAAAGAAATTAAATTACCTTCCAATGATCACTGATTTTAAATTCTTTGTTGAGACTTGTTTGTGAAACTATACTTTTATAGTAAAAATTATTATACTTATAATAAAATTAATAATGAAGATTAAAAATACTAAAAATTAGTTGTACGTGAAGTAAAATGGAAAACATTTGACTTAAAGAACGTTGATGCAGAAGTAGATAAGTGGAAGACATACAAGTCAAGAATATCAGTAGTAGGAGCTTTATTATTAAATGAGAGTTTAACACATGTTATTCGAGTAAGGGCACCTTCTTCATTACACTTTTCATTTCCACGAGGAAAAATGAATTTGTTAGAAGACCCTCGATTTAGTTGTGTTAGAGAAACAAAAGAAGAAACAGGAATTAACATTTCTATTGAACAATGTAAACAAGAATATTCTTTTGTCATTGAAAGTCATAAAGGAGTTGCCAACCACTCAACAACATATTATGTTATTCCTGATATTCCAATGAATTCAGAGTTTAAACCAATGTGTAAAGAAGAAATTGCAGATGTAAAATGGGAACTAATTGATAAAATTGATGCTAAAGAAACTGAAAAAACTCGTTTAAAAGAAATTATTGAAAAATAAAGAAGTCCAGATGAATTATGCAATATTTTCTTTACATTTGAATAATCATTATTTTAATGGTCCTATTTACTTTATTGGAAAAGAATTAATTAGAAATAATTATTTAAAACTTTTATTTCTTTTCTTCTATTTCCAAATATTTTATCTAAGAATATCTCTAAACTTATACAAATATTATTTCACTTGTATGCTTATCAATATTCTAATTCGTTAATACTCTTTTTTAGTACTTTTTCTCCTTTTTCTACCCTTCTTTACTATATTATTATTATTTCTTTTCTATTAACTATAATTTCTTCTTTATTACTTTATTTATAATTTATTTTATTATTTCTCTTTTTATTATTTTAATGTTCTATTCTCTTTCTTCTTCTTTTTCTTTTTATTTTGTATTTATTCTACAGACTATTTCATTCTACTCTCTTTAAGTTTTTTTATTCTTTCTTTGTTAATAATTTAAACATAATCTACGTCAATAACATTATGGCTAGAAAATAAAACTTCCTCTCAAATGAAATTTTACAGTTTTTTCTGTATATTTTGAAGAAATGCAATGACAATTATTGTGTCATAAAAAATAAACATATAGCTTTTCATGTAAAAAACTTTTTGTAAAAAAGAATTTCCTTTTTTGTTTGTAGAGGGAGGAATGGTATTGAATATTAGCATTTACAATTGAAGAAACCTTAAACCAAGTATAATAAAAATAAATCAAAACGTACATTGTAACAAGTTTTTTGATAAAGTAAATTAAGATTTTTTAATCCAAAGACGGAGTATTAGAATACAATAGATAATTGAAATTGAATAACAAATTGTTTTTTATTGTTTTTAGAAAAGAATCATTTTGATTATTTCCATAAGTTTTATTTAATTTTAATTTAAGTGGTTGTTTTTTGATATTCAGTGTTTTGCTCTCTTCTATTTCCAGAATTATCTTTTTCATAATTGTAGTTTTGATCATTTGTATTGTCCCAGATGATGATGTTCTCAGTATTTGTTGTGTATTTATCATTAATATCATTGTTTTCTTCTTCTTTATTTATGAAATAAAAAATAAACAATAATTTCTTGTTGTTTTGATATTAAATGATTTTGTTCTTCATTTTCTCTTTGTGTATTGTTTAATTCTTCTTTTGTTTTTTCTGCAATCTCATAGTTTTCAATCATACTTTTTTGATATTCAGTGTTTTGTTTTTCTTTATTTCTTATATTCTTCTTCATCACATCATCATTCCTCTTTATCTCATAATTAACAAAGAAAATAATGATTTCATCTTTATTTCATATTTATGTGTTATTTATATTTTATATTTAATTTATTTTCATTGTAATAAAATATTTTATTATTTTAATTTAGAGTTTTCTTATTTCATTATATGTAGTTTGAATATTGTTTATTTATGTTTTCATATTTTATATTTCTTCTTCAAGTTCTTTTCTAATTCTATCTCGTGTTTTTTTGAATCATTTCATTTGAAATGGTTCATTCTTCTTCTTTCTTTTTTGTTTGAAATTCTTTAATATTTTCTTCTATTTCTTTAATTTTATTTTGAAGAATGTTAATTTCTTATTTGTTGCTTTCTTCTTCCTTTTTCTCTTCTTTATCTTGTGTTTTCCTTTTATTTTCTTTTTCATTTATTATTCTTGTAGTTTTACATCTATCATTCATTTCTTTAATTCGATTTTTGTTTTTGATTCATTTTTCATTTATTTTAATATCTTCTTCATTTATTTTGTTTTATCTTTGAACTCTTCTTTGTTTTTCTTTATTATTTTATTATTTCTTATTGAATATACTTCTTGGAGAATATTATCCTTTCTTTACCTTCATACTTTTTATGTATTTCTGATTATTCTCATTTCTCATTTTCATTTCTTATTCTTTTATTTTTCATTTCATTTTCATTTATTGTTAATAATTTAGATTTATTAATTGTATAATGTTTATTATCATTATATTTACTTTCTTTCTTATTTGTTTTTATTTGTATTCTTCTTTTTCTATTCATTTTTCTCTTGTTATTTCTTTTATCATTATTATTATGCATTTTATTGTTATTGAAGTTCTTTCTTTTCTTTGAACTTGAATACCTGTTTGTTGTTTGATTTTCTTTACAAGACTCTATGGTCATACTCAATATCCATAGTATCAAAATATGATGTATATTCTGAATTGATAAAAGGATCACAATAAAAAGTAGTTAATTAATGTTAATAATTTCATTTTATATTGTTCAGTGGAGATTAATTAATCCATTTGCTTTAAAAGTGTTTATTCATCATCTATTAGTTCATTCTTTGATTTTAGTTGTTGAATTATGATAATTTCATTTTCTCATTTATTTAATGTGGAATAGAGTATTTTAAACATCAATTATTTAAATATTCGTTATTTAATTTCTATTTGATTTGATGGGTTTAAATTTCTTCTTTATTTTCTTATTTTAAAGAAAATATATATTTACTACTGTATTGCTTTAGGCTAATATTCTTTTTAGAATCAACCACTAAACCCTTTTTCTTTGATAATCTTATATTATCAAATATAATTGTATTCTAACAAGTAATAATAACATTTTATAAATACCCATTCTTTTATTATCAATGATATCACATCATTGTAATTAATAAACATTGTTATTCTTGTAGTATTGATTAAGATGTTTTTCAACTAAATACAATATTATAACCATTCCATAACTAGTAGATTTAAATGATGATAATATTTTAGGGTATTGTGTGGTATCTCTGACGTGATATCTTCGAATCCATAATTTTATTTAAAATAATAAAATAAATAACATTTAATTTAATTAATAAAATGAAATGACGTTTATTAAAATAATAAAATAATAAATAAAATGATTGTTATAAACGTGTATTTAAGTATTTAATCATCTGATTTTAATCTGATATTCATTAAATTAAAATGGAAGAGTTAATAAACAAGAACACTCAATTCTTTAAAGAAGAAATAGAAACACTTCCAAATATTCAACAATCAATTGTTGATATTAATAAATATTATAATTATTATTTAGGAAGTATTAAAAATGAAATATTTGAAATACAAGACAATGAAACATATTCAGAAGCTATTAAAAGAGGAGAAGGAATAATTGATAGGATTGATGAAACAGAAAGAAGAAGAAAACTAATAATAACAAAAAGTCAAGAAACAATAAATAAAATAGAAATAATTAAAAATAAAATGAACAAAATAATAGAAGAAAGTAATTCAGATTCTGAAATACTAAGTAAAACACGGAATGAAATAATCAATACAATTATTTCAATTGAAGAAATGAACATGAAAAATAAAATATTCAGAACACCCGAAGAAACAGATAAAATCATACAATCATTTAATAAAACGAAAGAAGAATGGAACACATATTATAATGATTATTTTGAGATGAAGAAGAGACAAGATGAAGAAGAAGAAAAGAAGAAACAAGAAGAAGAAAGAAGAAAAGAAGAAGAAAGAAAGAAACAAGAAGGAGAAAGATTAAGAATAATGAAAGGAATGAATACAAAAGAAGAAATGAAACAACTAGAAGAATGGACAAATAGAAAAGTATCGAATATATTATTTGATTCAGATATTGATGATTGGAATAAGAAAACATCAGTATTTAATCAAAGAATAATGAATAAAGAACATATAATAATTATTATTGAAGATTCAGAAGGAAATAAATTTGGAGGATATGTTAATGAGAAAATTGATAAAGTTGATTGTATAAATGATCCCAAATCATTTTTATTTTCATTAAAATCAAAAGGAAGAATTCAAGGAATGATGAAATTTGATATTAAAAAACCACGATTTGCATTTATTTTATTTAATCAATCAAGTGATTATTTGTTTGGATTTGGATGTGGATTAATTGGTGGTGATATTGTTGTTTGTAAAGAAAATAATAAAACAAATTCATGTTGTTATCAATGGTCATTTTCATATAAAGGAATATCAAATACACTTTGTGGAAAACACTATTTCACACCACAACGAAGTATTGTAATTGAAATGAAATGATTTTTATTCATTATTATTTATTTGAAATATAAAAATAAAAAAGAATATAAAATAAAATCAATAAATGAATATGAACATTTCATTTATCAATAAATGAAATGATGAATATAAAAATATTCATATTTCATTCTTGTTTTATTTCATTTGAAAGAATCATATTCAATGTGTTAATTTAATAAATAATAAAAAGAAATAAGAATAAAAGATAAATAAAAATATAATAAAATATTTATTTTATTCTTTTTTATTTATTTTTTATTTTATTTATATTATTTTATATTTATTTATTTT